AGTCAGTTCAGTAACCTTTAAGGCTTGTTTCTTCAAACAATCCAATGCCAGTTTGGGTGGTTATTTTTATTATAATTATTTATGTCCCAATTTTACAAGGTAACAAATCTTCAAAAAATGGCTTACAGGCAACATAAACCATAGCGTATGAAAGTACTATATGTATTATTTGAAAAGAAGGGGAAAATGAAGGAAGATTGGTTCATGGAATCTTTTCATGAGGTAATCTTAGGAGTTATGGTCCTGCCACAGGAAGAAGATAAGTTGGATTGCAGAAGAAAAGGCCTCAATTATTGTTTTCTAGACCACTCTGGCTTCCTTAAAATCCTTCCAATGTACAGATACCTCCTCAGAAAAAATGATATTTAAACTGGTCTTTTAAAGAATGAATAACAAATTGGATTACAATCATGCCTCGGCGTTTGACTGCTTCAAAATGTGCTGAATTTCATATTCAATGTGTTTTTATCCTGGCACCGATCTTTCTCCTGGTAATTGACACAGAAGGAAGAACTTGCTGATATTGGCTACCTTATGACCAGAGGTGGTATTCAGCAGGTCTGACCAGTTCTGGAGAACCAGTAGCGTAAATTTTGAGTAGTTCGGTAAACCGGCAAATATACCACCTCTGACTGGCCCCGCCCCCATCTATTCTCTGCCTCTTGAGTCCCAGCTGATTGGCTGGGTCTTCTTTGGTTGCCCTGTACAGGAGAACAGAGCTGGAAAGCAGGTTTGTGGAGTGGGGTGGGAATGGAGATTTTGCAGTATCCTTCCCCTGCCATGCTCACCAAGCCACGCCCACCAAGCCACGCCCACAGAACCGGTAATAAAAAAAATTGAATCTCACCCCTGCTTATGACTTACTATTTCTTCTGGCTGAAATAGCAGGTCATGTGGTAAGTCACCTGGTATCCATCAGTTTTAGTATTCAGCGTGTCTTCTGGAATAAATTAGTGACGAGGACTCAGGTGCCACTGTATAGAGTTCTTCCTTTGGTTTTGCTCCCTTTCCTTTCTGGGTGCTTCTCTGAAAAGATTTCCCCATCCTTAGAGGGTGTGCATGTCTTAATTTTTGCAAACGATTCCAGAGGTATTTCGTGAGAAGAGTACTCCACTCCTCTGCTCGCAGTAGAATACCTTATGCTACCAGGCTTGAAATTTTGGATCTGGACAACCTAGAACTACGCCGCCTATGGTCTGATCTAAGCTTAGTACACAAAATTGTCTGCTACAAAGTCCTACCTATCAATGACTACTTCAGCTTCAACAGCAATAATCCACAGGCAAACAATAGATACAAACTCAAAGTAAACCACTCCAAATTTGATTGCAGAAAGTATGACATCAGCAACAGAGTGGTCAATGCTTGGAACTCACTACCTGACTCTGTTGTTACATCCTCAAACTCCCAAAACTTTAACCTTAAACTGTCTATCATGGACCTCACTCCATACATTATAACTATAAAAATAAAACACAAACACACATCCTTCGCATTCTATCCAACTGAATTGAAAACCCCTGATATTGCATTAATATTTCACTATACAGTAGAATTCAATATAGTTACTGCCCTGGGATAGAAGCTGTTTTTCAGCCTATTTGTCCTTGTTTTTATTATCCTGTACCGTCTGCCAGATGGTAATAGTTCAAAAAAAGGGTTCGCAGGATGAGATGGATCTCTGAGAATGTTTTGAACTTTCTTAAGGCAGCGGGAGCTATAAAGCTCTTCCAAAGAGGGGAGATGGCAACCAATGATCCTCTGGGCAATGACGTTAACCCTCTGGAGTGCTTTCCTATCTGCCACTGTGCAATGGGCAAACCATACAGTGGTGCAGTCAGTCAAGATACTCTCTATGGTGCAGCGGTAGAAGGTCACCAGCTGTTTTTCATTCAGTTGTTTCCTGAAAGGTTCTGTGTGGCTTTAAAATTGGAAGAAGACACACCAGTGATTTCTATTATGATGATGACATTACTCTGATAACTGAACTTGAAATAACCTGGAAACTCTAGTAGTAAAAGTCAAAGAGTACAGTGAAAAAGAGGAAATGAAATGAAATATAAATATAAAAATTAAATATAAAAGAAACCAAACTAATGACATGGCCACAGACTGGGACTTGTTAACTAGCAGTGAGGGCCTTGTAAAAGATATTCATATGCCTGACATATCTATATATCCATAGATAGATAGATAGATAGATAGATAGATAGATAGATAGATAGATAGAGAGAGAGAGAGAGAGAGACAGACAAAAAATGTGCAAGCAGTGGTTTTTCCCTATGGAAGTGAAAATTAAGACTTTGAAGAAGCATGACAGAAAGAATATTGATTTCTACTCTTTATTCTGATGTTGGAGATGAACCCTGTAAACAAACAAATGGATCACAGAACAAATCAATCCAGAGCTCTCACTTAAGGCACAAATGATAATACTTTGGACAAATAAGACCTAGCTCTGAGAAATTTACCATCCTAGGAAAGGTTGAAGGAAAGAGAAAAGGACAACCAGCTGCAAGGAGTAGGTTAGAGAAGTGATAGGTGTGCTGTTGAAATACTTGAGGGACCAGGTTGGAGACAGATCATCTTGGAAAAAAGACAAGGTTCTGTATTAAGTCCTCTTCAACATCTTCATAAATGATTTAGATGAGGGGATAGAAGGGGAACTTATCAAATTTGCAGATGACACCAAGCTGGAGGGGATGGCCAAACTCCAGAAGACAGACTGAAGATCCAAAATGATATTGATAAATTTGAACATGGGGCCCTATCTAACAAAATGAAATTCAACATAGAGAAAAGTAAGGTTTTACACTTTAGGCAAGAAAATCCAAATGCATAGCACAGGTGGTACTTGGCTCATTGGTATTAATTGAGAGAGGGATTTAGGAGTCTTCGTGAACTATCACTTGACTATGAGCCAGCAGTATGCTGCATCTGCCCAAAAGGCCAATGCTGTCCTGGGTTGCATTAACAGAGGGATAGAATCATATCACTTTATAAAGTTTTAATAAGACCACACTCAGAATATTGCACCTGGTTTTGGTCACCATGATGTAAAAAAAATATTTAGATTCTAGAAAGAGTGCAGAGAAGAGCAACAGAGCTGATTCGGGGATTGGAGGATAAAACATATGAAGAATGGTTGCTGGAACTGGGTATGTCTTCAATGAAAAGAAGGACTAGGGGTGATATGGCAGTAGGGTTCCAATATCTCAGGGGTTGCCACAAAGAAGAAGGGGTCAACATTGGGTGGGCCCACATGCTCGTCGCAGTGAACTGGTTTGGAGCCAGCTGATCATCGGAACAAGGGGTTTGCCCAAACCGGGCCAAACTGATAGAATCCCACCCCTGATTCACTCCCCTATTACACTGCTTTATGGGGGGGACGACAATTACCTTGCACCTGGCTGCGCAAGCAAAGCACCTCCAAGTTTTGAGGCAACCAGCTGATAGTGTCTCTCCTCTTGAGTGTTGAAGAGAGTCACTCCAGCAGGAAAGGAGGAGGCTGAAAGCCTGGCTTGGATGTTTTGACAACATGCCAAGCTCGACATATTATTCCATATATTCATATTGCCCTCTCACTTCATCTTCCAAGAAACTCTGAAAGAAGCTTCGTGATCTGGCTATACAAAGCAACGTTTGATTGATGGGTGAAAGGAGGGGCCATTTAGCTGGAAATATAACTTGGCATTGCATTATAACTCTACAAGCAGATATGAAAGGGCCATCTGCCATATTTGATCCAGAATGGCCTTTTCTGCAAACATAAGGACTCCTCTGCTGACAGCATAATCATCGCTGAACAACCACGTGTAAATGCATCCTGGCACTCCAAAAAAAAGGAAACAACAGCTAGTCTAAAGTTTTGAGTGAGGGCAAGTCTTAATTAAAACTAATTGCAACTGAAATAGAGATGGATACATCATCTAACTTTCAATAACACAGTCTTCAGATTGGAGCACCAACCTTTTCTAAGGTGTTTAGATATTCTGATATAAAAGCCTGAAGCTCACAGAAGATTAAAACTAACTGTAATAGACTGTAAAGTATCAGTCCACCTGGATAAACCAGGCAGAAAACACTAGGTGAGTTAAATCTACTTTATTGTAAGGTTACATTAACAGATTCTTCCAAGACTTCCTCCTGCCACTTTTAACCACTTAATCCATTAGGGTGGGTCCTTCTTAAATTTCTTTCTCTGACTATTAAGCCCTGGGAATTTCTCCTTCTGTCTGATCATTCTATTAGGCCCGTGATGGTGAACCTATGGCATGCGTGGCAGAAGTGGCACGCAGAGCCATCTCTCTGGGCATGCCAGCCGCCACCCGTTGCTCTTCCGGGTTCTGAAGTGCATGTCAGTTGATCTTTGTGTGAGCGGGAGCACTGGAAACCAAAAGGGCAGCTCCCCAATGCGCATGCGCATGCCAGCCTGCTGGTCTTCACTCATGTTAAAAACCGGAAGACGGGGTGGCCAGCATGCATGTGTGTGCCAGGAACCTGAGCTTCCTGTGCTTTTAGGGAGGGAAGGAAAGAAAGGAAGGAAGGAAAAAGAAGGAAAGAAGAAAAAAGAAAGGAAAAAAAGAAGGAAGGAAAGCAACCAGGCAAGAAAAAGCTTGGAGAGAAAAGTCTTTGAGAAAAAAAAAATGAAGAATGTATCTCATACATACAACATGATTGAGAGGTGTTATGAATAACTGTCACACTGAAGATGGAACAAAGTTGTTTTCTGTCATTCCCTGTTTCAGAATAAAAAAGGATTTTGACTAAAAGTTAGTCCTAATGGTACAAATTGCAAGGCAATAAAAGAGAGGGACTTTGAAGGGTGTAGACTTTATTCCATTAAAAGTTTTCACAGAATTTGAATCAGGGCTGCCATCAAAGAAATTGGACCAGGATTCCTTCCTATCGTATAATTATTTCATGTAATTTCTAGTAATGTGAAAGAGGTTATTTCAGAAATATTAAGCAATTAGACAACTTTTCAATTCTCATCTTACCTTCATACAGCCAATCGCTGAGTCCGTTAAAAATAACTTTCTCTTTTCCAGTGGAGACTACGCGGATTGCTTGTTTCCCCATATGGGCACAATAGTAGATGTTGTTTTCAAATATAAATATCTAGGCAAAAATACAAAAACAAACCATAATTAACACAGAGAGCTCAACAGCAAGCTATGCTGTAGTCATTGCCACTCTAATAGCCCCATGATCTTTGTAAACCGAACATCAACTTTTATAATTGAGGTTCTTCTTCTGCGCCAACTCAGAAAGCTCAAACTGTCCAAGGAGCTGCTGATTCAGTTCTACAGAGGAATTATTGAGTCTGTCATCTGCACCTCTATAATGGTCTGGTTTGGTTCTGCAACCCAACAGGACAGACCCAGACTTCAGAGGGTAATTAGGACTGGAGAAAAAACAATTATTACCACCTGCCTTCCATCGAGGACCTGTATACTGCACAAGTCAAAAAGATCTATAGACCCCTCCCCTCCTGGACATAAATTGTTTCAACTTTACCCTCAAAACGACGCTATAGGGTACTGCAACCAGAACAACTAGACACAAGGACAGTTTTTCCCCCCGAACACCATCACTGCTAAACAACTAATTCCCACAACACTGTCAACTTATTTACTAAAACTGTATTACTATTATTCCTCTCATCCTTCCTAGTACCTATCTTTCCCACTTATGACTATAACCGTGTTGCTTGTATCTTTATGATTTTTATTGTTTTATTTGTTTCCTAGTATGATTTGATTGCTTATTAGTAACCTATGACTATCACTGAGTGTTGTATGTTATGATTCTTGATGAATGTATTTTTTTCCTTTTTGTAAACTGAGGCATATGCACCAAAGACAAATTCCTCATGTGTCCAATCACACTTGGCCAATAAAGAATTCTATTCTATTCTATTCTATTCTATTCTATTCTATTCTATTCTATTCTATTCTATATGATGGTTAACTGTGGTGGAGAAAATTCCTTGGTTAACCTGCCTTGAGCCTCTTTAGTACAGGATAATTCATACATTTCATAGAGGACAGTTTTATGTGTGTGTGTAGGTTTAAAATTAAAACTCTACTTTAGGGAGAATAGTGTTGCAATTAAGACATAAACCTTGCATGTGAACAATGCTATCCCTACTTCAAACTTTAGAGCCTTCAATTTTATAACAACAACAACAACAACAACAACAACAACAACAACAATGGTACTAGGCACACTGGGTGCTGTGCCTAAAGACCTAGGCAAGCACTTAAAAACAATTGGCACTGACAAGATCACCATTGGTCAGCTGCAGAAAGCCACCTTACTGGGATCTGCTTGCATAATCCGCCAATACATCACACAGTCCTAAACACTTGGGAAGTGTTCGACTAGTGATTTGTGATATGAAACCCAGCATGGTTATCTCGTTTGCTGTGTATACTGTCATTTTTATGTATAATAATAACAACAACAACAACGATGATGATGATGATGATGATGATGATGATGATGATGATGATGATGATGATGATGATGTAGGTAGTAATTAATAGGGAAAATGCTGGAGAATCATAATTTACATGTATTCATTTTTACCAACTTTTCATAAATTCCTAAGTTTGGGGCCCAGCATTTCTAGTACTTATTGACTAAAATTAATTGTTAATTGATACTCGTTGTTTGCAACTCTTATCGACTAAGAACATAAAAAAAATAATATGCTATTCTTCTGCTTAGAGCAGGGGTGTCAAAGTGACACTCCACAGGCTGCTTAGATCTGGCCCGCGGGGCCACCCTGGAAACAGCAAAGCACCAGCCCATGGTGCCTCTGTCAGCAAAAATGGAGCACAGGAGGGCCGTGAGCTCAGTTTCACTGGCAGAAGGTTGCAGGAGGCCATCGCAGCCGAGAACCGAGCTTGGGAGCCTGTTTTCTCTGGCAGAACACTTGGGCCTCCACAGGCGCCGCCGACACGAGTGATGTCAAGCTGGCCAAGCCCACCCTGGCCACACCCACTCCAGGTCCCCCCCCCCCCCGAGGTCAAACATAACCATGATGCGGCCCTCAATGAAATCAAGTTTGACACCCCTGGCTTAGAGGGTACTTATTTGTTTATTAAATTTATATGCCGCCCATTTCACTATTGAGCAATTCTGGATGGCAAATAATATTTATTGTAATATTCTATGCTACATGCTACATTACATTATTAAATTATAATTTTGTAATAATTTAATAGATCAATTTATTATATGATCTAGGAGAAATCAGTGGTCTACTGGGAGACCCTAGCTAATCTTTCTTTTTCATCTAAAGACCATTTTCTAAGAGACTATACACATTAATAATTGAATGACGTTTTTGTTATCTACAATTCGATGAATAGTAAAGAAATGATTAAGTGTACATAACCAGTGGCTGTTCAGTGGTGTAGTGCAACCCTCAACTTGGAGACTGCATACCCTCGATATAGATAAATGTTATACGAGATTTATATATTTCTTTTACAAATAAGAAGGAGATAGGACCCAAAACAACAACAAAATAATATTTGGTGTGCAGTTTAGCATTTCATAAATCAGAATGCACTGATGGGCCTACAGTCCTGTCCTCAAGTTTTACAAAATTCCTAGAATCGAGAACATAAACCAGGTGTTTATATTTTTCTATCCTTTAGTGTAGATAAGCTGCATTCCTTGTTTAGCTTTAAAATATGTCTAGGATTAATTTAATGTGGACAAATCCAGAGATATAACCGACACATCATCATCGGAGCACTGTGATTTGGAACACTATTTATTTATTTATTACCAAAGTATCTAAGCCTATCTATTCCTGTAAAGCTTGGAGCATGTTTATTATTTATCTTTACGTATGCCTTAAGGCTTGGTGGATACACTTCATCTACCTTGAAGAGACCCACCGATTTGCAGAGAAGAAATATCTTCCGTGCTGAGACATCGCTGAGATTCAATCAGTCCCTTTGGCTGCTGACGTGCAAAAATAGTCCTATATGCTCTGAATCAAAAGAAGCACAAGGCTGCTTATTTATGTACACAGGAAGAATGCAGGGAAGAGAAATAAAAGTGATAAAAGATCTAGAGATTAACTTTACTATGAACAGTTCAGGCAACTAGGTATGTCTGCCTAACCAAGAGCGGTTTTAGGGGTGACATAAATAGTAGTAGTCATGTAGTTAATTGGCCTTCTGTTCAGATGGCACCAATTACAACAGTGAAAATAATGGAGATGTGTTTCAACTGGAGAAAAAGTTGGAATGGATACCGAAGTGCAGAAATTATATTTTAGCTTCATAGCTGTTTTAATAGGTTGATCTGAGGCTAAATCAGAAAGCAAGGATTAAAACAAAAGTTCATGTTACGAATTTCAATCTTTCTCCAGAGTTACCTTTTTGAAATCAGTTTCATTCAATAAAAATATAAGATGTATTCAAATAAAATGCCTCCCGCTTTCCAAGTCCTTTCTATTATGGGAGACATTGGAACTAACACAAAGCAGAATGAAATTCAATTAAGGAGCCAGCATGGTGCATCAGCTGTGATAGAAATGGACTAATTGAGAGAACAAAATCTCTGCCAATTCGGTGGAAGCTTGGAAAGGAATTATATGTTGTTCATTTGATATTCTGTGCCTAGAATGTTAGGCCTAATCAGGAATCTAGAATTTATTATGAACACACAAAGCCACCCATCACTTCTCAACCAACTTTACAGAAAGAAAAAAAGATAAATTGCCCTGCATAAAAGTAGTGATGTTCGACTAGGAAGTAATTACCATTGATTGTGTGGTGATTGGGTGTTAGAGCTGTCACTCAAAGCATCAGAATACAGGGTACCTCCTACCAGGCAGTCATTACCATTGATAATGTTTGTGTGGTGATTGGGTGTTAGACTGTC